TTTTAATAAAATGTTCTTCAGCATACATGCATGTATATTGATATCGAAGAACATTATGCCATTAGAAATAAATAAATGAAAACAGAATAAAGCAGAATATTCCTGAGATTATTATCTTTCAAATGAGAATGTTACAGTTAGTTGACTTTCTTCTAATAGATCCAAAATATGCGAATTAGACAATAAATATTGATTCACGTTTGATTAAACCGATTAGGCTCACATGCCTTCTTCATCGCGCGTCATTTCGCTTCGCTCTCTTCTCTTCGCTTTATTCCTCTGATTGTCTGTCCAGATCAATGAGTGTACAAAATATACGCATTCATATATGCATTCTCGTATTTGACTTATTTAATTTCGTTATACACTAACGCGAGTTAGGTCAATGTTTATATACGAGGAATGGCTACATGCATATTTCAATAACATTCATACGATCCAATGGGAGTCAGATAAGAAGTTACTAAAGTGGTGAGCCCAACGTTATTCAAACACACAGCCTTCTGTTATGGTGTCAGATAAGGACCTCATTAAATCACTAATTATTTTGAACAGTCTTTAATTGTTTATATACTTCGAAAATAATTATTTTAAATATAAGTATTAAATATGAAAGATAAATTTTTAAATTAATGTTTTCGGCTAATTGATCTAAATCAACACGATGTAGTAAATGTATGAAGTAAAGAAAGTAATTAATTACTAAAAATTAATTTTCGTTGCAAACTGATGTTGGAAAGACAGTTATTGAGAATCAAACAGGACTGGTATTATGATCCTGAACTACAGATAAATTTATGTCTAATACTCCTTCGATGTTAAAGAAAAAACACTGAACTATAGCCAAATTTCGCACAGAACTGAATGTACCTTAGAAGACTAATTATTGTACATTAAACTGATTACCGAGCCTTTTAAGGTTGAAGATTATTAAACCACACTAATTAATGTGATTTATGGAATATAAATGTAAGTTAGAACGGTTGCTTCTGTTCTGCTAAATATTTAAGATTATTTCTGATGAGATTTTAGCTGTTCTCTGAGTGTGCTATGGAAGCATGATGACAAGCCGACCAGTTTAGAGCTGACTTCATATATATCGCAATAAGTGGAAAATTGTGTTTCTAACGTTTTGTGACAGTGTAAGCACATTCTTCAGAGTAAATAAATCTGAAGAAATGGCTTACATTGTCACGAAACGTTAAAAATACAATTTTCCACTTATTTGGATATAACAAAAGATAGATTTTTTATTTTTATGATAGTTAAAAGTAGTTGAGTTGATATTCTAATTATTAATTCCCAGAATAGTCCAATTTAAGGTAATTTAGATTGTCATCTGTTCTGTATATATCACTGCAATAGTAAAGTAATGAATATAATGGATATCACTGATATTTCACTAACAGTTTTGATAGTCTTATCATAACTACACATTCTGATTGACTATCAAATATTTCTTTTTTAAATTCAAAATCTCTTTTTTATCTGATTATGATACAAACTGCCTTGTCCATATAGTTTTTTTGAATCATGTCTTTGTTACAATTCGTCGTTTGAATGCTTATTGTCTTGGTTCTTTTAATGCTAGTTTTGTATTTGATCGTCCCTGATTGTCATGTCGGAAACGCTTATCACTTATACTCGGAGCGAGGGACCTCTGCAATTCCCACGATGCGAAAGCAAGAACACAAAGACTGGTATAAGTGATGATTTATCAGCCCCAAAACACGACGACGATGATGATAACTCTAGTAGAAAATACACTGATTTATATATTGATTATACACCCATTTTGACTAATAATTAGGATCAAATCATATATATGAAAAATACTTAGAGTTATAACAAATCACATACTGAGCATAGTGCATGTCAATGGAATACAAAAATATCGCATATTATACAGAATAAAATATCATGAGAGAAAAGAAAAGAAATACTACATTGAGTAAGCATTACATTGAATCAAAACGGAAGTAATCTTGAACGAAATTCATAATGAGTAAGTCAATCATATCAGTCTTCAATGTTCAATCTTTTCTACAACTATTAATACTGTTACTATTTGTAATAATCTGGCAGTTCTCTGACTTAATACAATGTAACAACTCGAACTAATCCCCATATATTCTAAGTTCTTTGTTGCATTTGTTTAACTAAGACAAAAGTTCTTTCCTATAACTTATTTCTCATTTTAAGAAAGACAGGTTAAATAGAAATAATTGACAAACTAAATGTATTATTATTATTTGATATTATTATTGTTCAACTATTGATGAAAACACTTAAATCTTCTGCCTAAAACTATGTTAGTATATACTTATGTTAATTCATCTACTTTCATGTCTCTATGTGTGTGTGTTTATGCTAAAGTAAGTTTCAGGTTGATACTCATTTTCAAATATCAATAAAATCTTTAAAAGACTAGACTAAATTCTTCTCTATTTTTTTGTATATACAAATAAGGGAACAGTAATGATGAATATTCATTTGTCAGGTATCATTTCAATTGTACCTTCATTTCTTTTTATTCCTTAATTATTTAAACAAAAACTAAATCATATTCATAAGTGTTCAATGGTGACGATAAATTTAATAAGATTGGTCAACTTTTATCAATATGATTGAAATAAACGTTTTTTGTTGTTGTTGTTGTTGTTTTGTTTTGTTTCGTCTGTTTGTTTGTTTGTTTTAATTTCACAGTTAGTAAAATGTTTAGTTTTTCGAAAAGAGAAATTAATAAGAAAATATCATTAATTGAGAGAGTATGTCAACTTTCAACAGAAAAAAAACTTAACATTTGTAAATTGATTTAATCTTGTTTCTGCCTTGTGTATCCTATTCCTTCTTTTTTTTCTTTTTTTCTTTTCTTTTTTTGTTTTTTTAACTATTCAAAGTATTATCGATTCTTCAATGGTTTATACTTCATCTACATAATTTTCAATTAATTCTTCGTTAAAAACAAACAAACAAGCAAACAACAGATGATCAGTTAGTTAGTTAGTTAGTTAATTAGTTAATTAGTCATAGTGGAGTTACTATGATAACAAATTTATTAAACACTTTTGATTAAATTGTCAATATTAATTAAAACAATAAAGTTTTGGATACAGTAAGTCATTATAATAAGATTTTTCTTATGGTGTAGATGTTTTATTTTTTGCTTGTTATTTATTGTTTGTTTGTTTCTTTTGCTTTGTAGACAATATGAATTTATTAAGATTTTTTATGTGATTCTTATGACAATGATGATTTTCATAAAATCAATCCATTAAGTCATTGACTTTTAGTTGACTAGGTGATATACAATCAAGTCGGTTAATTTAATCCAGTTTTATTTATTTTCTACTTGATATTAGGTTTGAGTTAAGTGTCAGTTCAGACTGTTCATTCTTCTATATCGTTTATTTATTTATTTATTTATTTATTTAAACTGTATCTTTCACACTTCCATTAGAGTTAATAATTGCACTACACTGATTGCCATCTCCTTAATTTCTATACCCATTATCCTGAAGCACAGTTAAACAGTAAATCTGTTATTCTATTTATCTGTATAAAAGATAATCTACTAATAATTTACTTGATAATAAGATAAAATCATTTTCAACAATTATTTACAACTTCTAATTTCTACACTATCAAACTGACTGGACATTTAGTATTTTAATAGATTTCGAAAGTAGTTCTTCTTGCTGACTGTTATTGATTCTAAAATTAGTTGTTCACTGTTACTGTACTAGCAATGGGGAACTGATTGCTCTCGATGTGAGTCATGAATGCTAGACGTTAATATAGCTGGATCTAAGATGAAATAGTTTATTGATGCTCGTTGGTTTTCAGAGGTTAACGACACATTTCACCTTGTTTTTGATGAAATTAATGAAAAATATGTGAAGCATCATCATGAAAATCATTTAATTCAGCTCATTATATATTTATAGGTTTTTCTGCTAAGAACACATATTACATTAATCTATGAATGTCAATGACGATTGATGAACTAGATTTTTTAGGTCTTTGAGATATACAATAATGCTGAGCTATCTATTTAACAATAAAAAAATTACGTTATTGATTCAATCCTTCCCCTCACATTAATAAAAGTTTTAAAAAAATAATCCTTGATGAAATGAGTGCGATAATTGTAGATTTACTGACATGAAATAAATCATTAAAAATAAAATGAAAGTTCAACTTCAGGGTTTCAGTTGTTTACTGTATCAAATCTGCCTATAGTAATTGATATTAGGTGGTCATAAAGTCAGAAGAAAATCCAGGATTTATGCTTCGTGCTAGATGACACACGTCAACATGAAAAATCAGCTATCTCCAAGGAAATGGTGCTCCATGGTGGATTTGAACCTATGCCACACAAGTTCACAAAATGAAACGTTACCGCTAAGGACTATAGTACTGGTCAATAGTTAGCAATCAGTCAGTACAGATATCTCAGTTCTTCAGGATATTGGTCGTGGTCCATATTCACTAAAGCCAAGTAGAATAAAACCAATATTTAGGAAATTGGGAAAAGACATTGCACGTACATAAGATACACATCGAGAAAATCATCAAACTGCATCACAAGGCAAGCTCCAACTTCGAATTCTAAAGGGAAATGAAAAAGAGGATGACAAAGGAACACACTGAGTCAGGAATCGGAAAGAAACATCAACAGAATGAATAGCAAATGGAAACAGCTGCAAATGATTTCCCAGAACAGAGTTGGGTGGAGAATGCTGGTGAGCGGCCTATGCTCCCCCATGAGGGGTAACAGGTGTAAGCAAGTAAGTATCTGACCACCTAACACCTCAACACAATGCACGAAATGTTCAGAGATGTAGTCGACCTGCAACTTGGTTGATTAAATTCCATCATCATTAAAATGACCAAAAAAACATGATAGCAATCACGTCTCAGTGAGTAATCACTGTATTCAGAATACTGAACACTTTATGTTTTCATACTGATTTTTATTTTTTTATATTATTTTATAGACACATTTACAACCAAATCAAATACATTAAAAAAATCTAATTCAACAAAATCTACTGTTTCATCGAATCCAAATAATTTCTTACTCGTTAATAATCCAAAATTTCAAGATAATCCTGAAATCAATAAAATCAGTTCTATACCATCTCATGAGACACATTCATCTGTATGGATGCCTGAATTACCAGATCATATGAAATCTAATCAAAGAACATTTAACGCTAATATAAATTATGATTCACTGTCGTGTACAACTATGAATGATTCTATTAATAATTCACATCGAAATGAAACTACACTAAATTATAACAATGAATGTTCTATTGATTGTACAGAGTTCAATAATCAATCAAAATACGACATAATTAACAATAATAATTCACTAAGTGGACGTACAAATTTTACAACTAGACAATTAACTGAATTAGAAAAAGAATTTCATTTTAATCGTTATCTATCACGTGCAAGACGTATTGAAATTGCAGCTGATTTAAGTTTAACAGAAACTCAAGTGAAAATTTGGTTTCAAAATCGTCGAATGAAACAAAAGAAACGTATAAGAGATAAAATTTTAGGTAGTACTTATCATGAAATAGATGAGATTACAACATCAATAACAACTAGTCCCCCGTTATGTATCTCTAATAATTTAAATAATAAAATTAATCAATCTTGGAATTTAATCAGTTCACAAACATTTAATAATCGATTATCTATGGAAGAAAACAAACAATTAAGTCATATCAATGATAATATCATTACTCCTGTTAATAATGATAATAATAACCATAATATTTATTACCATAACAAACATTTTATGGATTATAACATTCAAGATTTACGTAATCATTTAATATTTCATCCCTCTACAGCTTATACTACTACTACTACTACTACTACTGTTGCTTCCAATAGGATCACTACTACTATTACTACCAATACTAATACTACTAACAATAGAAGTAATTCCATGAATATCTAATTCAAATTATATACTCATACACTGCATTTTTATTTCTGCCTTTATTGAATTTCAAACAAAAATAGTGTTGTATATCTTCTATTGACATATATTTTCCAGAAAGAAAGAAAATAAAGAAAATTTTCTCCTTTATTTCTAATTGAAGAGAAATTGAAAAGTAAACTGAAATAAAATTGAAGAAAATTTTTTATCGATTATAATTAAAATAATTCATTCCAAATTACATTTTAATACCAATCAATATATTGATAATCTGAGCGCGCACAATTCAAATTACCATTATTATTATTATTACTATGATTTTTATATTTCGAATTGAAATTCATATAAAAATTAGTTTATGAATTAATATGCAATTTGTTTTTGTTTAAACGAAAGAATGAATGAGTTATTGATTGAGATCATGAACCGGATGATGTTAGACCATCATTGAATACTTGGAAGCACTGGACGGCCGTTTCGTTGTATTATAGGACTCCTCAGCAGTGTGCACCCACGATTCCGCTTGAGGGATTCGAACCCAGGGATTTCAGTCTCGTGTGAATGAATGAATGAATGAATGAATGAGTGATGATGATGATAATGTAATCAAAATTTCACATGGTAATAAGAAAATCAATTGAATTATTTTGTAAATTAATTTTTCTGGTTAATTTTTTTTACTAATCCATAAATTGCATAATAGTTTTCAAAAACATTTATGATCCCTCCGAAAATCTATTTAATACTATTCAAAAATCACAATCAGTTAATCTATGGATCGATCTCATACGGTCTAATTATCTATTTAATGTTTATTATTTATTCACTATTAAAATGTAATAGAGTACTTAATAAGGTATGTATCAATCATGAAAAGACATTTTCAGAACTGTTAATATAATTCATAAGAATATGTTTAAAAGGTGTATTTTCGAATTCGAAAATAATAAAATAAACTATAAGTAGATATGGATGGTGGCTAGTAGTGGAATCCAGGACGCACGTTTCGTTCCATTTGGGACTCGTTAGTTGGATGTATCTACATTCTAGAGTTTGATGTTCACTCCACAACTTGAATCCAGTAACGTTCGCTTCAGACGTCATCGCGTTATTCACTTAGCTGCTGAGTCCAGATAGCCACCAGCTTGTACAATGAGCTGAAGTTTGATTCATTTTTTATCTGGTCATTTGAATCGTTGGACTGAATTAAGCCAATATCGAGGCAGTCCACACAGGATGCACATATGTCAATAACAGACTGATCGATTTCAGTCCTAAATATCAATGAGAAGATTCAAGTAAACAGTATCAAGTGAATATGTAACTAGCGTTAATTGATTAATGGAAGATAATTGAAAGAAAATATTGATAACACTATAACTGGTAATCTTAAAAAACCCGTCGTTTCTTTTTGTTTACAAGGGAATGGACAAAATATTCTTCAAATAGTTAGCTCAAAATGATTATCGTTAGTACGAAATAATGAAAATATAGTTGTCAATTAATAATTATTACTGAAAATATTTTACAAAATATTAAGATAAATCAAATCGTAAATGTAAGTCAAGTAAAAATTGAATTTGTAAATAAGACTTCTCATAAAACATGTAATGAAGAATGGAAAAAAACTGGTCGTATTGAGAAAAGTGACAATGAGAAATGGGTGTTGTAATATAATCAATGCTTACTGAATAAATAATACAAATAGAGGTAACCCCATAAAAGCATACTACATTGTAATTTGAAAAAGAACACCATAATTCATATGATTAAACATCTAAACTGCAAGACTACATTGTACTACAATCTGATTAATTTCAATAGATGCCTGACTAAAATTATTTTGATAAGATGGCGGTTGGAGGCGATCAACAGTAGATCGTAGAACTACGTTTCATGCTGTTTAGGATTTGTCAGCAAATCGTACCTATGATACATGAAACTGGTCACTACACAGTGATTAATCAATTTTTAAAAAAACCACTTCCTTATAAAACCATTCAGATTTATTTACAATTAGATGACTGTTATTTTGATTCGTCAGTAAAGTATAAAGTAATATTGAAAGAATTTTTATAAAAAAAGTGTATAACTACAGATATTTAAGAAGATTGTAAGGAAAATATTTCAATTAAAGGCTGGTTTAATTTAACATCGTAAATGAAATCAGCCTTTGATCAATAAAGCCTACAAAAATAAATCAATATACACAAAACCTGCTCAGTTAAACTGTACTGTACAGTAGACCAGTAACCTAATTCCTGATATTCTAGGAGTTCCAGTGAAAAATAGTGAATTGTACAGTATAGATGTATCGAGGGTGAAACAGTTGTCTGCAGTGGCACCAGATGATCATCGCACCATATCACAAAAATTGATTGAACTTGGATTTGTACAATTGGTTGTTGACTCAGGGTTCTAATGGCCAAGTATCTAGTCCAAAACCTGAAGGTCCTGAGCTTAAACCATAGAAGAGTAGTCGGTACCCACTGCTGAAGACTAGGACAAAATAGCCTTTTAGTGGTACCTGGTTTTTACTGATACCTCAACTAAGATTAATCTATAACGAATACAATATATAAATAAGCATTCAGTAAATACTTTTAGAAATTCTACAAATTGACTTGTTAAACAACAACTAGTGTTGATTTTTCTAAAAATTTGCATGCTCCTTTCCAGTAGCTTTAAAATTCCTTGTTAGTTAACTAGTCTGCAGGCTTCGATGATATTAATCTGAAATTTAGTACTGTTTAGGGTGACTAGTAACAAATAACATTGTTTTTCATTACGAATAAATTCCTGGCATCATGATAACAAAAAACAGACAGATCCTTCCACTAGATTTAGTATCATATGTTGATTTAGTGACTAAAGTACATTAGTAAATAGATGAACAGAGCGGATAAGTTTTTTCATTTAACTTTTCACGGCTCTATACTGATATATACATATATAAATAACAACAGTAATATAATACTAACCAAGTAGCAGTGTAACATGCTAATTATATAACTTACAAGTAACTATCAAATTAATACCGAATGATTAATTGAGCAACTGGAAGAAAGATGAATAGATAGTTGCTAGATTACTGTTATTTCCTATGGACTTGCTAATATATCATGCGACTAAATCGCTAATTAAAAACACCAACGTATATGACCTTGGCACTGCGCCAACTCAATGGCACGTAAATCAGTATCAACAGCCTAGAGTCAACTCTGAGTTCATATTTGTCCTCTGAAATAGTAGTCTATCGTCCAACCTAATTGGTTCAGTCCAGAACACCAATATGAGCCTCCGCCATAGGGATCATATATTTCAGATAAATACAGTTTATATACAAACAAATCAGACCGCACCATACCATAGAAAAAGAAAGTGACAATTATACAAGGTCAGGCCCAAAGTGCCTGTGAGTGTGAGATACTGCAACTAATAAATTGAGAATAACTTAAGAGCATTAAATCGTATAATAGCAGTCAATAGGTCAAATGGAAAATTATGATAAAAGGAATATGAATATACATATATAATATAATTACTAAATAGTTATACAATAAAAATATATATACATATTAAAAGTCCATACATAGCCCCCAGAAGTTACCCATAATTTAATCTTCCTATACAACAATTACATAATATTTAAAAGGAGAATTAATAAAATATTTAAATATAAGTTCAATTTTTGTAGCAGCTATGTTAGGAATCAAGAGATGAATATAGTGAGCATGTGTAAAAGCAATTCAAGTTGGCATAGTGAATAGTATCATGTTGTTTTGATATCAGTAGGGGTATAAACAATTTTTTTACGAATTGAGTTCTAGTGAGAAGCAGTGACCAGTCGAGTTCAACCGGGTCTGTTGTGAGATAGTAACTCACCGAAGACATTGGTGGGTGTGTCGCTCAGCTTCGTGGATTAGTTGAAGTTAGAGATTAACACCGTTGGATGCCGGCTCAGTGGTCTAGGGATTAAGCGCTTGCACGTGAGACTGATAGGTCCTGGGTTCGAATCTCACGAGGTGACATCGTGGATGTGCACTGCTGAGGAGTCCGACAATGAGACGAAACGGCCGTCCAGTGCTTCCAGGTTTTCCATGGTGGTTTGGCTTCAATTCACTCATGATCTCAACCATTGAAACAACCATAATATTCACAAAAACCCTTCTCTGATTATAATTTATAACAACCGAACTATCTTCAAATGTAAACAACAATCGAAATAATTTAGCGGTAGAAGTTTTTTGAAAAAGTATTGGGTAATTTAAATTTGCCTCTTCATAATCAGAACATTCGGTTTCGTAATATCTAGCCAGAAATCAATCTAGAAATCAAATAACTTAATTGCAGAGGTTTTTTCCCCGGGGGTGATTTGCTGACTAACAGCTAATTATATAATATAGTCAATCAACTGTTGATTAGTTGGTGGTAGCATGTGTTTCATATAAACGAAAAACAGTACTTATACTCACAATGATTCAGTTTGTATTGAAAAACTGATCCATAAATTTAACGTATCGGTTGGTTAAAGTGTTATTTTTCTATTTCATTTTTAGTTAATTAATGGAGCATTTGAAAAAAGTATTTATTGCAATTTCCCAGGCCATGGTGAAGTCATACTCTGTAAACATTACAAATGGTATTCGATACAATGCACCAATCAAAGGTCGCCAAATGAGAGGACTATGTTGTGCTAATCAAAAATCTTCCTAAAGAAAAGTTCATGTTGTTGACCAAGAAATAGTTTCATTTTCTAAGAATTATATATATATATATATATATATATATATATATATATATATATATATATATATATATATATATATATATATATATATATATATATACACAAATTCGTGTTTATGTATTTCGATTTAATTCAGCCCAACAAACTTCATCTCTTACCCTTAATCTTGTCGTTAATTAGTCGATTGGGGGTTTAATAATTGGAAGTTTTGCGTATCGGTTTCAGTCTGGGACTTCAAGCGTTATAACAGTATTTAGATTTCATTAAT